ATTGATACGAACGTGGCAAGCACAAAATGAGATAAATTCACTGCTGTCCTACAATTTTTCTAATTACCTTAACACAACTATCTTCTTATAAAAACCCAGAGAACAGCTTGCTGCTTGAATATTGAAAATTTCAGATTTAAGCTTGGATAATTTTGTCCCTTCGTCGGTAATGCCTGAAATTTGGAGCCGTAAACAGCCGAATTCAAGTAGTAATAATTCATGATCTATTTGTCAGAACGCAAAAGAACTTCGCGCAGACATTAAGTACCTTGTAGCCTAGAAACCCTTTCAATATTGTTCAACGCAAAACATAAATTGTTATTCATTCAAGCTTACATTCTTTTCTCCAATTTCATTGGAACCTGTAACACTTATTAATTGCTTTACAGGCTACATCTCTTTAAGGAAGCCGTGTATAATGCTTCATTAGCAGGCTCCGCAAACTTCATTTGGTTATGTTGAACAGTTTCACCCCACGGCCAGCACAACGATGGCTTGTACAGCAAAAACAGTGGTTTTTGCTTGCATTGTTTTCATTGCTATGCAATACCACTTCAGACTTGGCGACAACACTAGCTGTCATTAGAAAGTGAAGAACGTAAGCTTTGTAATGCAATACAATTCCCATCATGGCAGTGAACGCAGTGCGTCCGCAAACAATGACAAAAACGCGAAGCGGGTGCCGCCGAAGTAGGACCGCCATCAGCTTGTCGGCGTCATTCGTGCGAAATGGCAAGAGCAAACGTGCACACGCTTTGTCCGTCGAAGAGGGACCGACTCGTGTACGTCACCGAGCGAAAACTGAAAGGTGCGAAAGCATATCGACTCGAACGGTATGAATACGCTACACCGAACGTCATCTGCTGCCTTCCGTGACACACGGAGACATCGTGTGTCACGGAAGGCAGCAGATGGCGTTGATGAGTGGTGCTTTCGACAAGTCACGTCATGCTGCAACAAATGAAGGCCTACAAGTCGCTGGACACCACAAGTACTTCACCAGCGGAAGGGCGAAGCAGCTTCCATCGCAGCCTGTGGTACGAGGATACGACGCTCTTTCCCGGGTTCGACGGGATTCATTAGTGAGAGGTGCAAACCCGTGCTGCGTCGTAGTGGGGAAAATTTTGATGTTGTTTGGAAGGCGCCTCTTTTGCACGCTCCTGCCTACGCCCATGTTCAGAGGTCCCCGCAGTCGTGCTCGTTTCAGTAGAGTTGCAATGCTTGGTTCATTTTCCTCTCGTGAGCAACGGTCTCGTGGGATCTACTGCTGACAGTTCATCACGGTCTGCTTCTGTATCTATTCGATTCTGTGGACGGCGTTTCCGCTACGACTGCATACAGCGTGTTCGTCTATCGCTGTTTAGAGCAGTGAAAACGCGCCGATTCTGCGGCAGCAGTCTGGTAATAACGGCTGTAGCCCAGTAACTAGTAGGCTCGGTGCTAAAGTTGCGTTTCGCGTCGTCCATTAAAATCGTGGGTTAAAAGTAGGTACGTTCGCATATGTTGCAGCGTTAGCCTCATTCAACAGTGCAAGACGCGGCTATTCAAGTGGAAAACGTCGGCTGTACGTCACTGTGAATCTAGGCAGCATCCTGGAGAAAGCGACGCAATCACGTAAGTAAAGTTGACAAGCTTGAACATAACTCGAAAATACCCCTACCTGTGATGAAGTGACCACTGCTGTCACGGAAGTGTGGCGGTTTGGGCTAGTTGGTATGACATGATGATAGTTATAGCACGAGAACAGAATGACGACAAAGGGACAAGCCCTCGTCTCCTTCTTGTCCCTTTGTCGTCGTTCTGTTCTCGTGCTATAACTATCGTGCAGGCACGGGATTAGGATTTGATGTCCTAAAACAACCAGACGATTATGAGATGCGCCGTTGTAGAGGGCTCCAAAAATTTCGACCACCTGAGGTTCTTTAACACGTCTAAGTCTAAGCACACGGGCCTCAAGCATTTTCGCCTCTACCGAAAATGCAGCCACCACGGCCGGGATTCAATTCCGCGACCTGCGGGTTAGCAGCCTCAGCCACTGTGGCGGGTATTACTCTGCATCTAACAACGGCACAAATAGTCATGGTGAAGCCGGTAGCGCAACCGAAGACCAGATTTCGCCGCTGCTAAGTTCCCGACTACGCTTCCAGGCAGCTGCTTATGTTGACAAGCATGGTGGTTCTCGGTCCTCTAGTTCCCGGATGCGACGCACGTACAAACCATGTATATCGAAACCAAGATGGTACATAAATGATTCTACGAGTGAGCAACATCAAAACGATTGGACGGACGTCTCATGATGCTATGGCAGGCAAAAAAATATTTGTATGCATAGGTCTGGAGGTGCAGGCTGCTTGAATAACAAATGACCGCTCCTACCATTATAACTATCTCGTAGTGATTGCATTTGTTATTCATCTAAGCTACATTGCACTGCGATGTATAAAGCAGCAGTTTGTGAGGAAAGGCCCCTGCGAGCGCTAAGTGGAACACGCAGAAAGCACTGCAGTAATGCCTGAGGGGTGACACGGCATCTCGAACCGGAAGCCGATGCAGACGAGCGCCTTAGCCCACAATCCTTTGCGTAGACCACGATTTTCTTATCCACCTACGGCCTCCGAGACCGGGGGTCATTTCGCGACTTTTCCGCTAAAGAAGGGCCGTTACTAGATTACTTTCAGTTGTAAAACTGGCCGGCGCTGCCCGGAACCGCCACCGATCTTTCTCTCTGTGGCGCTGCAGTCGCAACCGGCTCGGTTGCCGGGGGGCTCGCAGGCGGTTTCGCTTATGCGCCGCAGTAGCCGGCGCATTCGGTGCCCCGGTCTCCGGCGTTTCTTGTTCGCGCGGTCGTTATCAGAAGTGCTGAATGAGCGATGCCGTTCGAGTGGCACATTTAGTGATTTTCCAGCGACTGTATTTCATTGCTGTGGGCCTCTGCATGTGAGGCTGAGGCCGACAATGCCGACCTGCTTCGTTCCCGGGTGTACCAATGGCTACAGCAACAACAAGAACAACACGGACAGGCACTTCTTCTCGGCTCCCAAAGATGAGACGCTTCGCTCACTTTGGAATAAGGCCATCCCGCGTGCTGATGAGGAGCTTTCAACGAAGTCCAAAGTGTGCGACTGCCATTTTCACGAGCAGGACATCGAAAAATGGTACGTGCACACCATCAATGGCAACACTGTTCAAACGCCACGTGGGAAGTGGAGCCTTGTTGATGGTGCCATTCCCAGTGTTTTCCCAAACCTGCCTGCTTACTTGTCCAAGCCGCCTCCGAAAAAACGAAAGCGACGGGGGGGTATTCCAGGGGCCGGACGCAAGAACGCTGACGCAGGCGACAGCTTCGCAAGCTTCGCCACGAGAGGTGCTGCTCCAGGCTTTGTTCTGGCCAAACTTGTCTTGGAGTGTGTGATTGAACTTGAACGCCATAACGCATTAGTGATCGCCGTTGTCAGCGATGACGCAGGGAACAACCGTTCAATGTGGAAACATGTTCGAATATCAGGCACAGTCCGGTGAACAAGATTCCACATCCCACACTTCAAGAGGGACGGTTTCTGCACTTCCTGTGTGATGTGCCACACATTCTGAAGTGCGTGAGGAACCACCTTCTGTCTGACACGTATGCAAAGGTAAGTAAAAATGCGCATGGGCATTCAACTGTTCAATATTATCAATCTTCGGGAAACCGATATGTTTGTTCGTTGAAAATGTTTTTTTTTTTTTCTTTTTTCGTGCATCTGATTTCAGACGGGCCCTCACTGCATAAACTTCAAGCACTATGAACACCTGTACAAGACGGAAGAAAAGGCGCAGCTGAAGGTGGTTCCAAAGCTCACAGCCTCCCATGTGAGCCCCGGCAAGCTGGAGAAAATGAACGTTCGGCTTTGCAACGCAGGTACGCAAGCTCCATATAGTGCCTCCACTTGCGCTATATAATTACCCCCTTCCCCATGCTTTTTTTCTAATTGAGAGACGCGTGCCGTGCTGTCAATAAGACCACTCAGGGGTACTTCCTCAAACTTTATCGCAGCTCTTCAGCAGAAGCGTTGCCCTGGGACTTCGTTTCTACAGAGAGCAACGTGAACCTGGTTTCGAAGACACTGAAGGCACGGAGAGGTTCACTGCACTCATAAATGAGCTGTTTGATGTCCTCAATGCCAAAATACGCTCGTGGTTGACTGCCGGCGAGCAGCCGACGCAAGCGCGCGCAAACTACGATGCGCTTCGGCTGACCTGTTGTAGAAAGCAATGCAATGAGCCGTAACGGACGGCTTTTCTGCCCCACATTAAGCGATCCTGAGCAGCTACTGGAAAGTACTCTGGCCTAGATGTAGTCTGGACGCGGACAACTTGACGGGTAGCGGGTAATATTTGATGTTATCGTGCGCTAACGTCATGAGAAGGCCGAAGCGGCGTTGGGAGAAGCGCCGTAGCACGCGATGAGCAGCGGCCGGGTAGAGCAAAATGCGGCGGTCCCGCCCTCTCGCGGCACGCCGAGAAACGGAGACGCCGGCGGCGCACGGCGCATGGGGAGAGTTTTACAACTGAACCTATCTAGTAAAGTTGGGAAGGGCGTTGCGGGGCGCCGCGGCGTCGTGGAAAAGGCAGAATTGTTGTACGCTTGGCAACGCCACGCCCATGCACAAGCTCCCACGATGGACGAAATTGCGATTTAACCCCGGCGATCGCGTACTACGTCACCCGTTCCCGCGTTTTCACTTCGGTCCACGCTGAACAGCTTGCGAAACGACGGAAGCCCATATCACAGTTGGGATCCCCTGGGGAAAATGCCGAAATCCTTGCTTGTAGCCTGAACTGTCGCATGTAGTGTGTATGCTGGTTGAGGAAGGATTCGAATCATGTTATGCGACTTATTCGTCTGCCATCACGTCCGTCATGTGAATAGGTAAGGCCATTCTTATTTGAAGCAAGTATAAAAAATGCATTGCGTTTAGTCGCATGTCAGCAAAGAATACCACACCGCGTGCAGCACTTACTTGATGGCGATTACTTCACCCCGCTGTACCTCACAGCTCCGTGACGCCCACCGGTTGAGCAGCACGTAGTCGGAGAACTCTTCGGGCTCAGGGTTTAGCTCCGGCTGCATGGATACCCCTTCAACCTTTGCGACGTACGCGACACAGTCGACAAATGCCACGGTCACGGGAAAGCCGAACGCGGCGCGACGAAGCACCAGTAAGAAGCGCTGACGCCACATTGTTGCTCCTCGGAAATCTAGCTAGGGCCACAGAAAGCTGCTCGGCTCAGCATCACCGCGGTGTTGTTCGCACAACAAACGACATCCGTTGGCCGCACGGGTTGGCCGTATCAGCTGGAAGCTGCCATTTTGTTCGGCGGCGCTCCTGCAGTCCATGTCGATTCCACTATCGAATGTCCGAAAACGAAACCGCCGTAGAACCATAATGGACTTCCTGCAGGCAGGGCTGGGCAGTATCGGAGATTATTGTATTTTGCATACTCTTCAGGTATCTTGTATTATTATCACGTTACGCTTCTTAAGACGAGCATCTGCACTTCCAATACATTTTTGATACAGTGGCCAGAGCGTGCGATCAGATTGTAAGAGAAATGAAAAGAGCAAAAAATATGATACATTTCACCAGTGCTTTCGCGTTGCGACTAGGATTCACCTTTTCAAATCACGCCTAAAATTATTGAAACTATCAGAAACCGTTCTGTTGCGCAGCCTAGCTACAGTGTTCTAGAAGGGGGTAGTGAGATCAGGGAGAGCCGGCAGGTGTGGCATCTCACGTCGACGCCGCGAGATGGTGCCACCAGCGCCTGGGCTGTACGCACGGTGGCTGTACGGAACGCAGAGCCTTGGCAACGCGGAGAAAGCCGTGTGGGTGTTTCATCGAAAAAGGGAAGCGTGCAGTTCCTTAGCATGTTTTTCTGGAAACTTCCTCTGAATTAAGGCGAGCGCATAGATAGATGGTAAGGCGGAGGTTTTAAGGTCACGTGAAAATAAAGCCTACCCAACGAGTGCCGACAAACGGCCCCACGATGATGTGGCCCATTCGTAAACTAAAGGCTCGCGAACACCGTAGACGTAAAAATGTGAATGGGTAAATTGCTTAATTCATTTGTCATTAACAATTTTCACGTTAGGACGCAGTCGCATTCACAAGTTCGAGTTAGCCAAGCAATTGCGGCGCATGTACTAATACATTCAGAACATATGCCCTATACCATAAGCGTTTATTTCATTACAAGCGGTTTCGTTTACGAAAGTATAAATCCACTGAAACCTTGGGGGTTAATTATTCCCATTATGATGCCGCTATGGCGCGGTCGTAGTAGTTATCGGAGATAGCGAAACTTCATGGCACAGTAAAACAAAAACAATGAGAAACTCGAGTTGGCAACAAAAACTCTTTATTGGCACAAAAGATAAGGCAGGCACGGTATTCTCCAAGTACATGGCTGCCACGAGAGAGGCTCCATGAGCAACGGCTAATCTTCGCATGCAATTTCTTTTTACGCCGTTCCTGTCGCGATTGGTTAAGCCCTTTTACATAAAAGTGCAGCCTGGTCAGCACATAAAACTTGGTCAACTCTGCCGTGAGTGCATCTGAATGCTGGGTGCAACCTAGGGCATAACCAAAGGTCTCCTTCACCAGCAACATTACATCCACTATGCTGTCACTGCAGAGTTTCTCTCGGCTGAAGAACACAGTGAAGATGTCCTCCAACTTCTTCACTGCCTTGAAAAGCTCCTGTGAGGGATATAACAACCCTCCCTTGTCGCATATCGCAGTGAACTCAGAGTTTCTGCTTTCAGTGTTAGGAGTTTCCAAAAGAAAGGTCTTGCAGGGCATACAGTCATAACGCTTCAGAAACTTTCGAGCAACATAACCTGCCATGTAATGTATTAGACGGTCATTGCTATTTTGCTCCACTAATTCTCTGTGCTCAGCAGGAATACTCCGAAGCATGTGCTCAACTGATACTAGGTTCCCTTCCTCAATCTGATGGTCAATTGCAGCAACCCTGACTTCTTGAGCTGGAGCATCTTGTGCACTCAGGAGAGAACTTATTTCAGCATCAGCTCCATTAAGTTCAGCATTGCCTGAGCGTACCATCTTGGCAAGGTTATAAAATGACAGGCAATTATAGACAATTAAAAACTGCGTAGGTGTAGGGGGGTCATTAGAGCCACATGATTGCCTGACTATACCAAAAAGGTTTTCTAGCGTATCCTGGCTTAACCGAGATGTCATAACATAATTAAATCCCTGGCTGACAAGGTAATCCAGCAGTGATAACGTACTGGATATTGTCACCCTTAGGCCGTCTGCAGTTGAATCACTTAGAAATCCACCTACTCCTGCAGCAAGACACTGCCGAGAAGAAAGAAATCCAAGAAAGTCTTTCAGTGCCTGTGCCTTCTTGGAGCAGGGACGCAAAGCTTCTGCTGCAAAGCGGGATGTCATCGTCTTGATGGGGTAGTTGATGCTCCTGAAAGAATACAGCAATGTAATTTATTTTATGAATAAGGGTTACCATCATTACGCCATTTTTGTTATTTATGTGAACATCAAGAGAGTAAGTACACGTGGCTATTATCCGCAAGCATATCGAAAGTCAGGTAAAGGAGGCACTTGAAAATAAACACAAAATACAATTGCTTTGAGAGTTAAATAGGGCTGTTCCGCCATGCAGCATAGTAACATGAATTATTTTTTTGTTTTGCTTACCGAAAGAATGACAGTGTCGCATCAATGCTTCCCCACGAAGCCTCCAGTCTATCCTTGTAAAACTGCAGTCCGTTGATAACACGATCTCCGAAGAGCTGAAAAGCTAAATTCACTCGCATCTTTTCAAAACTATTGGGCTGCAAGTGAACAGATGGAAGGCCGGGCATTCTTTCAAAGTTACGTTGGTGCAGTCGATCTTGAAAGCTTCCCGCAAAGGCTGGATAGACACCTGAAAAAAAAAAAGCCAGAAAATATAAAACAAACATTTACCTCTTTATTTGTATTATTGTAATTCAAAGCATGAATAACTTTCCACTGTATTATCCACAAGATGAAAGCTAAATTATGAACGGGATTACCAACACGAAATTTTGCCACATACCATGCCATTAGGTGTATTCAGGGGGTGCTTGAGGAGCGTGTTCCTGAGGCCCTTCAGCAAATGTGGAAAATCTGACAAGAAGTGGTGATGCCGAGCAGAGTCCACAGGGTGCTCTAGCTTGCAGGTGACGTTGTTTGACTTGACTCCAATCCCCAATATTTTCCACATCCGTCTATTCCAAGAAACACCATCACACGTGACGAAATCTACAAGTAGTCCACTTGCTTCAGGAAGAATGGTTGCCTCAATTAATATTTTTGCAAGCATTTCTGCTTTCACGTTGGCACTTGTTGCAAATATGCAACGTGAACAGGAATGATATAATTAAGGGACCAAACAGAGTATCTAAAACGACTTCCCAAACGAACCTTGTACTAACTTACTCCTCATCAGCGCCACGAATCAACAGCATACTTTCCCGCCATTTCAAGATAATCAGGCCAAGCAAACGACTACTATTTTCGCGAAGCCACCTCACGTGGTGTACCGCAGGGATAAAAATCTGAAGGACATTCTTGTCAGAGCAAAAACAAACACCCCCAAAATTCAATCAGGTTGTCATCCCTGCGGGAAAGCTCGATGCAAGGTATGCCCACAGATGGTCACAACACGTGAATCCAAAGCGAACTTCTCGGATTTCAAATTCTGCATAACTGAAAGCCTTAATTGTGACTCCAGTAACGTAATATACATGCTACATTGCAACATCTGCGGACAAGAATATATCGGCCAAACAGACACGCCATTTCGGCTGCGGTTCAATAATCACCGGTACCACGCCACTTCACTGCCGAAGCTACCTTTATCTAGACATCTGCGCCTGCCAAACCACAGTTTTGAAAATATCAGCGTAACTCTTTGGCAGTCCGGTTTCTCAAAGAGGCGCGAACAGCGTGAGGCACATTTTATTTTCAAATTTCGAACATTACTAGTCGGCATCAACGAGGTCCCCGGAAGACTCTCCTGCCTCCGAGAAGTAAGCCAGGAGGAAATTGGTGACAAAGATTGATAGCTGGAGACCATGCTTGTTTTTTCTGACTGACTCGTACGTGTACACTGTCCTTTCTTTTTTCTTTTTTCCCTTTTTTCTTTTTTTCACATGCACATACAAATACAAAGCATTTACGCTTGCCTACCACTTGATGACCATTGAAGGGAACCGGACGAAGATGAAAGGTAAAGAGCCGACCGACCCATTAAGGGGAAACCCTTTTCATACGCACGCCGTCACGGACCCCTCCCGCCACCGCGGTACAGTGTCTAGAAATATACTGGCTAGTGTGCTGAGCGCGGGCTAGGAGATGGCCCCGCGGCTGATGACTGCCGGCAGCGCCCGCATGGTGCGCTGCTGTGCGAGTGGGTGCATTTGCGTTCAATTGCGCTCCGCAAGCGCCGCGAAGCGTGCAGGAGGCCGAGCCGCGCGAGGCCAACTATTATTTTGCTGCATTTTCGGAGTGTTTTTTTTTTACATAATGCTTTATTGTATAAGAACTACTCTATTGCTTTCACAGTACTGGCGTTTTGCAATACCAAAATGAAGATCATTTCGTGGCATACATTTCGCCATCTGCTACTTGCCCGCAAAAAAAAAAAATAGAGACGCAGATCCCACGTAACTTGGGAATCAATGCTACGCAAGGTGACTCTGTTGTAATATTATATTAGGTGAAACATTATGAAGTGGCGCTAAATATATGCAAGAAATTGGATAATGAACACTGGAACCAGCATTGGCGTTTCACGAACATTCGGCTCTTCTTGCAAAGTATTTCGAAGACCCTAAGTTAAGGGGGTGATCGTGAGGGCACCCGGACGTAGGCGATTCGATAGATAGATAGATAGATAGATAGATAGATAGATAGATAGATAGATAGATAGATAGATAGATAGATAGATGCTCAATGTGGTTGCAGTACGCAAAGAAATTTATTTTAAAACCCATTGACAGTATAACCACCAGAGTTATTTTTTAAAACGTGCTTTGTTCTTGAGAGCAAGAATTATCACAGAAGACCCTAAAACCTTTACCTCTTAGCCTGCATGCCATTAGGATTCGAGTGAAAACAAAGAATGATAACATGCCAATGAATAGTCTGACACTCACCACATATGATACTCAAAACGTTGTTGGAAAGAGAGTCTGACGTTGACATGGGAGAAAAACTGTGTGAATGAAATTCGAAAGGGTATTTTCAATTTTTTAGATAAATAATATTTGAAATTTTGCCTAAACGGCGATTTCATTCCCGACACCGTTCACCCTAATC